TCTAGTTAATTGTGATGTAGTTATCTTATGTACTTTGATATTGATTATTATGCTGTGGTGTTGATTGTGCCAACCCAAATTGTGGGCATCACGCTAATAAAGTTGTATCTCTCTATACTTGTAATAGAGTAATGAGTTGTACAGTGATATTATTAGTTTATTTATTTACATTTTTTCTCGTTAAAAAAATTAACACGGCCTTTGGCATTATCAGCGGTACCGTGACATTGTTCATTCCATTTTATCGCGACAATATCAGATGAGTAATCTAAATTGAGCAAACAATATATTTTGGTGAAGACTTTTTGCGATTGATAAATTTAATATGGAATATTTTCTCTAACACCGAACAGGCTAACTTTTAGTAGGATATTTTTTAAAACATAAGAAAGTCTTATAAATTAACGTTTTTTTTAAAAAAAATACTAAGCCTACTCTATTACTTTAAATTCCAAATTTGATCTAATTCTAATACTGACAATTCATATTAAATAAACTCATCTATAACAAAACACGAAGTTGAAGTGCAGTAAAGTGGTTTTATTACATTCATACACATTATTATTCCCGTGTATACATCTGTATATACTGGAAAATATTAAACGACAATATAAATACAATACATACAGAAAGAATATTTTCATAACCATGATTGAAACCATTAATTTTTAAAGACATTATATTTATTGACAATTTCGATATTAGAAGGCATGCAAATGTGATTTACATATAATAGTAATAATATAATTAAATAAGTCGCCTTTAGGGTTACTGTTGAATATTATTCTGTTCAATAAGAAATTGACTGAAATTTATTCCAAATTTGTTATTACTATACTGCCAAATTCCGTCAGGCATGATTTTGTATGACGTTTCAATGTTGTATAGATCTTTTAGAATACAAGTTTCACCTTGAACTATAGCAGATTTTATAAATGTTTCTTTTTTCATAACGTTGTATAAACTCTTGCGCAATCCAAATAAACGACACTTGTCTGGAAAACCTAACAAATCCAATTTCAAGTCAGCATTTCCTCCTTAAACAAAACAAAACAATTTTAATTAGAAAAAACTGCCAAAAAATCCTGCAAAAATTAAAATCCGTGATTTGTATAATAATTTACTTTGATAGCAACTTTTATTGTTCGAAAGCTTTTATACTATAAAATATATTGATTTGTAATTGAATTATGATTACTATTATAATATAATATTAGGATAAAGCAACAAATTTAGTGCAAAATTATTGTACAAAAATGGATACATACATAAAAAGATAATAATTTCTTTATGAAATATGAATATTTACCTAATACAGCTATACTGATTAATTGGCTTAAAGCTTTATAAATGGCAGATCTTCTTCCTCCCGCCAAGATTGTCATGTCATAATATGTTAATATATCGTCTTGGCAATAAATAAGAAAACAAGTAATTAGTTGATAATGTAATACATTTGCAAATGTTTATATAACCTAGAATTTATTAGTACCTATTTTTTACTTAAGTTCCAAATTTATAAAGGACTTTTAGTGTTTTAAAGTTTTTGAATATATTTTTATAATATTTTCGCATAATCAATATATTATGATGACTAACTATATTCTGACAATAGAGGGTCTACCCTATCTCTTCAAAATAAGCAGAATTAGCCATTAACCCATAATCTACGAAAATTTGATGTATGATTGTTATTACCTTGTATTGTAAGGTTAGAGCACCTTTTACCTGTAACGAAAATATAAAATAATTATATCACTTAACAATTTTTTATTATTATTCGCAACGTGATTCATTAAAAATAAGACAATCAATATTAAAGTTAAGCTCCAATGTTGCTTTCTAAATCCGAATTTTAAGATTTTTTGTGTTGTTCCTTACTGAAAAAAATTGTAGTTATCATAATTGTTTTTATTTGTATGTAAGTTATATTATAATAGACCAATCATCAATCTGGTTTAGAGCTCTAACATATTAAAATTGCGAAATGTAATATAAAAAAATATCAATCATTACCGAGAGACATAGGGGTTATTAAAATTTGGATTTAAGGCTATTTGCAGATAGAGGTATGCCTGATGATAATATGATAAAATGATTGACTCAATCCGACCAATCGAATCAAAAAGTTTTGAACGATTATCAAAGCCTTAAGCAAAAAACTTTTATGATTATGACTTTTAATTTTAATCAAATTTATCGCTATTTTTTAGAATTATATAATACTAAAAACCCAGCATAGTCCGAACCAAGCTTAGTCTATAAACCAGTACAGTCGAAACCAAGTATACTATAAATCAGTACAGAAGGTATTAGCAATGTTGGGTCACAGCAACTATTCAATCTGAATGTATTAATACAGTACAATTTTTAAGTACGAGTACATATTATATATGAATATGTGTATACCGTGGTCTGATATATGCCGGATTACTGTGAGTCTACTGTAATACCTTTTCAGCTCTGCATCGAAGCTCAAATTTAATAATTGTTCGTACAAAAAAAGTTAAAATTTGTACTTACCTATTACAGCTTCTATTTCTGATTGCACTTGTTTTTGGTACCATAACCTATCTAAAATTCGAAACAAAATAAATTTTGATACACATCGTTCATTGTACTAGAAACCAATATGTAAGCATACGATTTATCTCATTATATACGAATAATCTAATATCTACAATAATATAATTAATCAATAACTTAAAAGATGTTACACTTTTTTTAATTTTTTTTTTTTTTTATAATTTTATAATTATTAGTTGGGAAAAATTTAATATATTTTTTTTAATTATAACTCCGTCCCTTATATGTTAAAATATTATAAACATGATTTTTTAAAATAGTAACGTATATATTTAATTAACTTTTTAAATTAAGAATAATTTGTTGAATATTTTGACTGGTCGATAACCAGTTTTGGATAATTAGTTTACAAGTTATTTAATTTTAAAAGATATAAATAAAAACTTCTCTACTCTCCACCCTTCCTCCGATCCTAAATAATGTAAAAAAAGTCTTACATCTTTTAAGTTATTGACTGGTCCATAGTTGAAGAGTGAATTTGTCAAACGTTCTAAGTGCCAAAGCAAAAAAATTGAACTTTATAATTTAATTTGTATTTTATTCATTACCGGAAACACTTGAGCATATTTTTATGTCTGAAATATAATTGTTTTTTATAAACAACTATTCCTCACTTGACAAACGTACAAAATTGTTTTCCGTAACGCGTAAAATACAAATCAAATTATAAAGTCAGGTTAGGTATACTTTGGAACGTTTGACAAATTCACTCTTCAGTTAACCAATCGCCCGGTATTTTATATGAAGGGCTGCGGGGAAAAAAGATCAATGTCATTATTTTTTCATTCCGAGAAAATCATTTAAAAAAAAAACTCATTAATCATTATAATTTAATACTTCCAAAATTATATAGCGTATAATAAGTTTATTCGATTTTGTCTCCGTTTTAGAATTTAACTTTTTTAAGTATTTGTTTTCAGAGCATACAACGTCTATTATCTCTGTATTATTGAAGAAAAACTTATCCAAACAAAATAAAAATCATAAATATGTGGAGAAAGATTTCACTCTAGATACTATAGGTACTATAGTTACAATATTATGAAACAACATACTTGGTTGCATACAACTTGTGTAATGTAAATTTACGCCATCATAAAAGT